GGCCAAGCTGCAGGCCAGGAAAGGAGCAGGGGGAAGCAGCCCCAGCCACAGGGCCCTGCCACAGGAGGGCGCGAGGAGCAGTGCAGAGAGGAGGCCAGACCCGGGAAGGTAGGAGTCCTGTGCTGCCCCGGAGCGAGGGCCCCGCCTGGGGATGGGGCCGGCCAGCTGGCAGGGCTGCAAGGCCGGGGTTGGGTCTGAGGGGAGCGCGGGGGAATCCTTTGCTCCCCTTGTGGGGCACCTGGCTGCCCGGGGGAGCAGCTGCAAGAAAACACTGAGCTGGTCGCAGCTGCCAGCTCCGGGGCCGGGGGCCGGGCGGGACCTAACCTGAGGGCCAAGCCGCTTGGGGGCTGGCCCGCCTGCCCAGGCCCTCCCCACAGCCTAGGGGCTGCCAGGGAGCAGGGCAGAGGTCACAGGCACAAGCCGGGGGGCTAGTAAGTTTCCTTCACTCCCAGGAACCCGTTTGGTGACAGGCAAGTTGGTTTCCTGTGGGGATCTGGCCAGTTCTCGCTCTGTGTCCCCCGGCCCGGCCCTGCGTCCCCCGGCCCGGCCCTGCATCCCACAGCCCAGCCCTGCGCCCCACTTCCTGGCCCTGCGTCCCTCTGCCTGGCCCTGCGTCCAACGGCCCGGCCCTGCGTCCCACAGCCCGTCTCCCTGCTGTGCACCTGGTGCTCCTCACACACTGGGCGGGAGGAGACTGCCAAGGAGGCATGGCCGGCATGGCTCTTGGGCCCTGTGCTCGGGAGCGTGGAGAGACAGGCGGGCAAGTCCCCGCTTGCGAAGCAAGTCCTCTAGGACGTCTGGAGTGGCACTGGGAGCAGAGCCATGTCTCCTGACTCCTGGCTCAGTGTCATTCCCATCAGCAGGCACAGGGCCGGCCTGGCAGGGGGTCCCCTCCCTGGGTGGCTGCACTAGCGGGTGGCGGCCGCACCATGTGGCAGGACATGCAGGGGAGGGAGCGGATATGGTCCAAGGGGCTTTTCCCTCTAAAATCCGGGACTTTTCCGTGAGCCGTGGGGTCGGCAGAGCTGGCAGTGCTGTCCCAGGTCCTCACAATCAGCCAGCCGGGCGCTTGGTCAGGGCCAGGGTTCCCCCCAAGATTTTCCACCCATGAGCGGAGTGAGAGAGCTGTGTCTGGTGCACCGGTATTGAGGGCGCGGGCGCCTGCTGGGACCCAGGGTCTTAACAAATCGAAGTATCTTCTCAACCTCTCCCTCTGCTGCCGTGTCTCCCTCCCCCCCCCGTCTGCTCCCCTGGAGCCCATCTCTCACCTCCTGTGCTGTCCTGGCTCCTGTCCTTCTCACGCCCCTCAGCCCTCCTGGGACCTGCCCCTCCTCCCCATCCTCCTTGACCCCTGCACCTGCCCTTCCCTTCCCCCTGTGCCCACCCCCCTTCCTAATCCCCTCTCCTAGCCCCTCTCTCTCCCCTCTGGCCACCCCTCTTCTCCGGGCACCCAGTGACACCGTCCCTCCCCTCCCTGTGTTTGCCCGTCTGCTTCACCCCCACAATCCCCCGGGACCTGCACCTCCCCTTAGCCCTGCCCCCTCCAGGTGCCTCCCCCTTCCCTCACTGTCCCTGCCCTCCCGACACCTGCCCCCCTTGCCCTCTTCCTCCTTGCTGCCCACCCCCTCACCACCCTCTGCCCCAGTTCGCCTCACGCCCCTCTCCACCCTCACACACGACTTTCCTCGTGCCCATCTCTCTTCTCTGGACACCCACTGCTCCCCTCTTCTCTTCCTCCCCATTGGCCCTCGTCTCCTCTCCCAGCATCACCCTGTCCCCTCCCCTTTGCACCTCCACTGATAACTTCCCTCCCCCTCCTCTCCTGCCCTTTTCCTCATTGTCTCCTCTTTCTCTCCCCCCCCCCCCCCCCCCCCCCC